GAAATCTAAGAAAGTCTAAAATAACATTCCATCATTATGACTGGTCTTGGAGGAAAAATAAGTGCAATAAACAGAATTTTTACTATATGACAAAGAAAAACATGCAAAATGCATGAAAACATGAAATATTACCCAGATTCATTTTAATTAAAAAAAAATGTAAGAAAATCCATAGTTCTCCTAGATGTGTTTTTATTTTGGAGCACTTGTGTATTAGTGTTCCTTTTTGCAGTCACACCTTATGCATATATCTGCTATAAATATATATTTAGCCCTTTGTATTATTGCGTTCCAAAAGGGATTTTTACTGACATGCCGTGGGCTTAACGCAGGCCTTTTCCGAGACTTGTTCCATAATAGATGATAACCGGTCCATATTCCAGGACATAACTGTCTTTTGAGTCCTCTGATATTTTCGAGAGCATTATTTTTGTTTTATTTCTAGCCATACCTTTTTTCAGCTCTGTCAGCTGAGGCTTATTAAGGTTGCTAAAGATAGATTTCAGAAAGATTCTCAGTTGTAAATACTGAAAGAAATGTTTATCGCTAAGCTTAAATTTTGCTTGTAGCTCTTTAAAGGACATAAATATATCGGCCTGATGACTAAAGCACACTGATTGTCGCAAGTCTTACCATTGCCCATAATTCAAAAGATTGTGTCTGCCTTCGAGCTGGTTCCCCAACACTGGATTAAATGATGCCCATACACCTGGACAAAATTCCTAACATCATCCTAGATTTTAATCTTAATTTTTAGAGCTGATTTTTTTTTCATCTCTGTCTGTAATTTCTTACAGATTCTGAATTCACACTTAAATTATAAGAATCTAGTTCTACCCAAGTAGAAGTAACATATCCTTACTTTTTAAGTTTGTTTTACTGGGTGCTTTCAAACCCGACCAGAATAGGTCTTACTGTAAACTGTTATTGGCCTAAAGCCTAACCTCTCGCTTTCTCTGGTTTTGATTAAGGTTCATGAGCGCACTGAGGAGATGGACTTTCTCTTGTTGGTGTTGAGAAAACTCCTTCATTCCAACTCTCGTCATGTTAAGGTAATTAGAGCAAGTAGGAAACATATCTGCTTTGTCTTCCTTATGTGTCACCTCCTTTATCCATATGAGCAAATTTGTTTTGGGCAGATAATCCTTATGTCAGCCACCATCAACTGCGATGAGTTTGCTAGATACTTTGCCACGCTGATACGGGGCAAGATGAGCCCTGCTTACGTGTTTGAAGTAGAGGGAACTCCGTACGCCACAGAAGAGTTTTACATCGAAGACATTCAAAAGCTTCACCCTCACGGGGTAAAGAGCTTTAGACACAATTGTTACATACTTATTTCCTCGTTGTTCAAGCTGCTAACGTGAAGTTTGCATTATGAAATCAGTTCGAGCTGCCTAATCCTGATGACCCGCATATCCCTCTCAAGATGTACGATCTTGCCATCAATCTAATCCACAGCTTTGATGAGATGGAGGGGAAAGATTTCAGGTTGGCTTAGTTATCAAGCTTTTGCTAAGATAACCTTTCTAATCAGAACATGCAATTTTTACTGATGGTTCAACTCTGTGATTAGCAAAGCTGAGGCAGATGGTCGGATGACTTTGTCAGAGAGAGGAAGTGTTCTGGTTTTCCTTCCTGGTTTACAAGAGATTCGCTGCATGCAGGAGGCATTGTCCAAGCTCGTTCACCAAAGGTGAGCTTCTATATGTATATATTTTGTTGCGTTAAAGGAGTATATATTTTTATTTTTTTACATTAAAACCTGAATAGATCCTGATTCTGATCCCCCAGACC